CCCTTTAATTGACAATTTTCATGAAAAACAAAGTCAAACGAACACTAAAAGATACAAAATTTCAACATTGTCCAGGTGAAAAATTATACCAATCAAACACAATTAATTGACAATTCCCAGTAAAACAAATTCTAGACAATTCAGTTCCTTACAATTCGTTTTCTTTCCACCCAAATTTCATCTTTGAATCAAACGGATCCTAAGAGATATATATATAGGAGAAGAGTGAGTTCTATTTTACCGGCATGTTTTAACTAATTGTACATAATTAATAGTAATGGTTCTATGTGCCGATTAACTACCAACTTAGGCTCATTTTGTCTCCCATTATTCCAAAATATTATTTACTGCAATAAGATTATCCACCACACATTTACCCAATAAAATATTCTACCACAAATCAATAAAATTACTTTAAATTTCAATCACACATTCTACAAAAAATATTATTTATTACTCCATTTCTTCTATAATAATGAGAAACAAACACACACTTAATAAAAATGTCACAATAAAGAATATTAAGCAGTGAACACAAAATATAACGTGATAAACCTATAAAGGACACATCCACAACCCCATGCCACAAGTAAAATGATTCACTATATAAAGATACAATCCTCTCAGATTTTTAGTTATAATGATTTCTAGAATGCAACTAGGAATCCTAACTGTAAAACCAAAAACAAAACATAGCAAACATCAAAAGGAACTAAAACTTCCATCATGTTGGTCCTTTTTATTTGTTGGAGAGTAGAACCAAGTATGCAACCTTGATTTTCACCCAAATTGCTCTACAAGTCGGAATAAGAACCACGTTCTTATTTTTCACGTCGAGATGCAACTTCAAGCAGCAGTTTAGTTCTTCAAAATTTCGATTGAATTTTTGGTACCATCAGAAATTCTACAACCATGTTCTTTTGATGAATTTTAGTTCGTGAAAGGCATAAGGGAAAACGTTTGGTGCAAAAATATTTTACTAATTTAATTCGTAAAAAAACTTGAACAATAAAATTGCTGCATGAGCTAGGGTTTGAGAAAATTTTATTTATACGTTTTCCAAGTGTGGATTACTTTTTATTATAGCCATCTACCGATTATCCATTAGTAACAAAAGCTACTAAAAGATAAATTTTGGAACAATGTATGTAACCCCCGATATAAAAGAAAATGAAATACTTGATATATAGCACTAAACAACTCAAATTAAAACGATTATAAATTATGGAAAAACAAGCTTAAATTACTTAAATTTAATGTTGAACCACCTTTCTAAGAATAAAACAACCAAAATCTATAACATGTACGTAGTTGGAAGTTGGAAACAATTTATAAATTCCAAGCAGATATATTTTCATCAATTTATGAAGTATGTGATGTTCATAAACAGATGACATTGGAAGTTGGAACTCAAATCATTTCAGTTAAAATATTAAAAGCACCACTAAGAATGACAAAAAAAATTTGTTATAAGTGTGTTCGAAAAATTCTCGTAGACAAAAGTACATTGATGCATGACAATTTTATAAATGATTCATAAAAAAAGAATTATGAATTACTTGATATGTGTCATGATGCAACTCATAAAGTCTAACACGGATTTAAAATTACAACTTGTAATTACATTTTTTTTGTGATTGTAGACAAAGTTCCAAAATAGTTACTTTTTTTGCCGTCATTATAGCTACGTTATTTAAAAGTCAACATATTATCCTTTTAATGTACTTAATTGTTTTCACGACCACGTTATTTCAAAAGAAAAATTGTTATTCGGGATTTATCACGAATATATTGATTTTTTCTTCAAATTATTCTTTTATATACCTTTAAATCGACTATAAGATGTATAATACTTTATGATCCACAGTTAATGCTTTGATAGATATTCTTTTGAGCTTACATATCTGCATCAAGCCCATTCTCAGTGTCATAACATGTGGTTGTTTCTAAGGATGTACCCAGATAATTTAAAAAGTCATACATTTTCTGGCAGAAAAACAATTGAAAAGTTTTGAATTAAATTATTTTCTGCAACTTATGCAACATCTCATTGTTCTCTTACCCCACATAAGTCATTGTCAACTCGCATTGAATAATGAATCAGAGGGTTTACTACCATTGACGATCACAACTACTGATGTATAACATTATTCTTCAAATGCAATGAGATTTGTAATTCAATTTCATCCTCTTCCACCATGTAAGTCAGTGTGGTTAAAAGACGGACAACCATCACAATAATAGTAATAGTAGAGCAGTTCATATATCGAGGTGCCACAAGCCTCCCCACAGATATTCATCAACAGCAATATCTGAACGCGATGTAATATCTTGATACATCATAGGCAAGAATTGGTTATCCAGTGTTTGATATGGGATTACTGTCTCTTGCTTAATGCTTGGTGTATCAAATATATTTACATCACTCATGGGATCTGCTGGAATGGAGTTCCCACCATTTTGTTCTTCTTGGCTAAAAATTTTCTTCTTTTCAGAAGGCTTGCCTCTTGTCTTGAAATGGATTCTCCAGTAGTTTTTTATTTCATTGTCTGTTCTTCCCGGAAGATACCGGGCTATGACAGACCATCTGTGTTAAACATTCCAGAAAATATGAGTAAAGAGAGAGAGAGGAGTATATGTATATATGTAGAGAGAGAGAGAGAGAGGCATTACTTGTTCCCCCAAAGGGCATGGAGTTCAATGATAATTCCTTCCTCCTGTGGTGTTATATGGCCTCTTTTGAGTCCAGGCCTCAAATAGTTCACCCACCTTAGCCTGCTGCTCTTTCCACTCCTATTCAACCCTGATTGTGGAAAAAATTCAAATCATAGATTAAAACTAAAAATTGATTTTTTTGGAGGGTGGACTTCACGGAAAAGTGTTAAAAGAAGAAAAAGAAGATGACATCTCCTATGTTGTTTAATTGAGCCTAGTCGAATACCATGTTCACTTGATGTGTGTTTGTGATGTTGGAGTGTCTTTTTCGTTTAATCAGTCTTTACTCTTTACTATTCAATCCAAAATAATGAACATACAATGAGTTGATATAAGCGAAACTAATTCCTACCTGAAGACCTGGCGACAGAACTCCATCTTCCCTCACCATATTGGCTTACATATTGAGTAAGAAGCTTATCTTCCTCAGGTGTCCAGGGCCTTTTTTCCAGCCTTGTTCAGGAACACCCCAACCTGCCATTGATCAAAACCTTAAATATTCCACAAAACTAATTTTACTGTTTCTGTTGTCTACAGTTTGTATGATAGAAATTACACACAAACTCTCCTCTTATATCTTACTCAGATGTCATTGCACAGTACACTTTTTCAAGAGATTAAGCCGATCTCATTTAACACTAAACATAAACTTTGTCCTTTAGTACCAAATCAATCTTTCCACTGCAGAGTATCTGCCAAGTGTCATTACCTGCTTTCTCTCTTTTATACATAACCAATAAACCTTAAACAAGTGTTGTTTCCAAATCTTTGTCCCCGTACCGAGAAGCACATTGAGATTGAAGTTCCGGAATTGAATTCCCTTGCAGCAAGTACTAAAATATATGTTTAGATAATCATGCGCGGAATCACTTCACTTCGTCTAAATTTTTTAAACTTTATGTGAGGTTAGATTTTTTTATTTTTTTTATTCTTTTTATCGATGATCAACCGTGTAATAAATTTCATAAATAAGCAACGACAAACTTAACATCTTTAACTGTTTACCTACTCGTGCGAAAACTTAACAGCATGATGCAGGGACAGATGGAGGGGGATTGGGCGGGCTATAGCCCAGTCCAGTCCCCACCCACTATTTTTTTTTTTAGTTAGAAAAAAATTATGTAAAAAAAAAAATCATGTCTAATTTTTTTCTTTTTTTACGTATTAGCCCGGTTTGTAATTCATCCCTGATCAGATGATTCTTTTTTTTTTCATCATAATAGCGTGATTCAACTGAAACATAATCTTAACTAAAACGGAAAACTAAATAGTGTGGGGTGGGGTGGGGGTGAGGATTAGTGCGTCTCTTGGAAAATGGCTTAAGCTCCAATTATCATGTAACATATGTTGGTGTATACTAAATCTTAGGATTTATTCAAGTTTTAGATATAATGAAGTGTTAACAATGGGATATTATTTAAAGTTGCATTAAGAAGGTTCTTCATACCAATTCCAATGATAAGGCATTAGAATATGTAAAAGAAGATCGATCTCGTGGACTGGCATAGCATTAATGGAATGTATGGGCATTTGTTTATTGGTTAAACTCATTAATTTATTTAAATAATGCCATATATAGGTAATGACTTGTACCATCATAGTAATTGAATATAAATATGTAAAGCTTTTCAACAAGCCATTGTGAGATTTTTAGTACTTATAAGAAGTTAGGAAGTTTTGGTTCTGTGTACGTTCCTTTAATGTGAAATGATATCAATTTTCGAGCTTAATTTTTGTCATCAATCTTTACTTACTATAATCGTTATGTCCTTAATTTTATTTTTGATACATTCTTATCTTCAATATTTTATTAATTAGGACATCTCATGTCTTATAATGATTTATGTCAAAAAAGTTTGTTCAGATGCGTAAAATAACTTATTTTCCAATCATATTTTTCAAAAATAATAACTACAAAAGTGTGACAAATTTTTTCCCTGATTTTAAAGCAACAAAAAAATATATTTTAATTGAAACCATCATCAAAGAAAAATTTATTAATTAATAAAATATTGAAGATAAGAATTCGACGTAAAAGAAGTATGACAAGTTTTACAGTGAAATTTAAATATGGTGCTACTAATATAAATTGTGGTGTGAATATAATTACCCTATAATTTTTTAGAATGCATGTACANATGGAAATGTTCTCCTACCCACGGTGGGCAGAATAAGACTGCCCACCTACTGATGTGGTTGGAGAACCCAACCTTGGGTTCTCTCCAAATGTGAGAACACCAATGTTGTGAGATATTATTTTATTCAATCGTGTTGTTTTGGTTTAGATGGCATCAGTAAACACCATTAGCATTATTTAAGTAATTATTATGTTGCATAATTTTTTGTAATATAAACAATAGTAGGAGGAAATAGCAGACATGCATTATCATCCAAGAAAGGAAAAATAAAAACAAAATCTTAAAAAAGAAATATCTTCTCTATCCAATTGAAATTTCTCATCATTAAGCCCGACACGGTCGTTATCATCATCATCTTCTAATACCCCTAGCTCGACTTTCTTTAACGAGGTCGTTATGCAAAGAGTGCATGCTATAATGGATCAATGTCGCATCTCTTGCATCACCACACAAATTGAAGTAAAACGTATGTACATCTCTAAATGCAAAGTAACAAGAAATTTATCATAATATCAAGTTAGAAACCCTCTCTCTCTCTCTCTCTCTCTCTCCCAAAAGTCAAAAACTAAAATATGGTCTTCTTCATGTTTGGTCATTTAAAGAAAATACTCTATTGAGGAAATAATCCTTAAAAGCGTTAACGAGCGGAGCTGCGATTATGTTAGAAGAGCCTGCTTGTTGGTTTCAATGCATTCATGAACTTGGGCTGATAGTCCTCCCATGTATTAGAACCCTATAATACTGTATCTGTTCAATACTGTGCAATGGAAATGGACACAAGGTGGATTAATTCTAACATTCCCTTCTAGATTTACAGATTGTTTATTATAAATGGTTTTGTTTTAAGTAGTAGAAATAAGTAAGGATTAAACTACTTGTATACACAAAGTGTACGCCTTGATTAACACATCCTTATGTGTCAAAATCTAACAGCTGATTGAAAAATGTATTGTCAAGATCAATGTATCGAAATCTGTCAACTCATGTAGATGTAAACCAATATTTCAATCTTTATGTGCATATAACATGGTCCAATAAGTAATAAATAAGTAATAATTATGAGTTCCTCGAAATGTGTGGATAGCAATTGATGCTTGGATAGAAACTCTTCTACTACCAAAACAAATAAATCATTACCATCTCAAATCAAGATTCAGGACTTGCTCTTTTGCAAAAATCGCTATTAATTAAATAACTAGCCAACTATACAAAGGCACTTGCTTGAGCTAACTTCTAATACAACTCCCAACTCACCCCTTTTACGTTCGTGCATGGCACCCGCTACCCTCCCCTTCCAACTTCATTAATCTTTGTTTAGGCACATCGCACTCTTCAGTTTCGTCTTTAATCTGCCACATCATGTGCTCCGTTTGCAAGGTTGTACAATCGGTTAATATTACTATTAAAAGCTGACTTGGTAAAAAAATAAATAAATAAAAAAAATAATTAAAGTGACCAAATTGGGAAAAGGAAAGTGCTTGGAAAAAAAATTGCTTAAAGTGACAGTGGCTGTTACCCATGAAAGATATATAACTACAAGCTCAAGTATTTAGTACAATTTTTTTAAAGTAGAATTAAATTCTTTAAGCAAAATATGTTGTCAATACAATGGATTTAACAATCCCAACTGGTTCAACCGTTTAGCCATACAACGCTCATTCCCTTTTATGAAGAGAACTTTGGCTATAAGCTTTTGCTGGTAAGAAATACAATAATAAACATGAAAAGAAAAGCAATTGGAAAGGAAAAAAAAAGTACTCAAGACATCGTTGTGCTGAATAATATCACTATACAAGATAACACTTTTAACATGGAGTATTCACAGTGACTTTACACTTCCAGTTCCAAATTTGTTATTTCCCTTGCTGTCTGTTGCTGTTTTGACCCACAAATAAAAATCTGGGGAGAGAGAAGATCAAGGAGTCTCATCGAATGCCATCACCTACAAAGGCAAAAAAAAATATCCAAAATAGGGTTAACTTGTTACCATTTTTCTTCACAATCAAATAATAGTGATGCTCGCATATAATCTGATAATTATATAAATCAGAGACCATTTATAGATAAAAAAACATGTTATGAAACGATCTGTCACACTTTTAGGCCTTTTGTGCCTATGATGATCTCTGTCATTGTTCGACCTGCCAAAACTATAGACTTTCCATCATACTCGATGCTCCAAGAAACAGTAGCCTACCCTTAGTTTGCCTTGCAAATATCTCTTATCATGTTCGACCTGCCATAACTATACTTTTCCATCATACTAGAGTACCATTTGATCCCCCTTTTTTCCTCATTATAATGAGAAATGTGACTGTTGCAACTCCAATGGTCATATTTCTCATTATAATGAGGAAACAATGGGAATCAAACACACGCTAGATGTTCCAAGAACCAGCAGCCTACCCATAGTTTGCTTTACTTGCAACTGTCACTGATCATGTTCAACTCTTCAAAAAGACTTTCCAATTTCATCAAGGACAATTTCAGTTGGAAGGCATCTTATAAAACTACAACTTTTTACTCGACGCGTTCCAAGTATGTCATATACTACCATTATTTTGGGAAATTTTGTTGTCCATGTGCCATATCATCTATGTATTGTTTACATTTCGCAGTTGTTCCCAAAACCTCATCTAAATTTGGATTATTAAAGAATCTAACTTTGGATAGGGAGCAGGTGGAGGGCTAATTAGGGACCATGATGGTAAAGTGGTTCTTGCATTTCATGAATTTTGAGGGACTTGCAACAGTTTTGATGCTGAGGTTAGGGCCCTCAGTCGCAGATTACAAATATGTGGACAGTGAAACTTTTGGGATATATGGGTGGAATTAGACTCCCCAACTGGGGTTATCCTTGTGAAGAAAAAACTAATGGGCCATGCGAGTTTTGTATTTACTTGTGAGATTTAAAGATTAAGGGTGAAATGCCAGTAGAGGCTAGAGAGGGCAATGCATCTGCAGTCTGGATGGCTAATGAAGGATTTAGACTAAAAACAATAGAATCGGGAACTGCAAGGATTTGGAGGAAAGCATAATTGGAATGCTATGTATAGACGTCATGGAAATACCTTATTTGCACATGAAGAAGGAAAAATCTCATGAGATATGCTCTCTGACAAAGAACAAGCATGTATATTCTGATGGCATTTAAAATTGGCACCCCAGGTAAATGAATACTGGATTTGGCTCAAGTAAGGTAATTTATGATGGCATTTTAAGTGTGTTTTGGTGCGTGTATTCCGGGTTTGAGTTAATATAGTTCTTTTGCTGCTATAGAATGATTGGGTGTAGGCTGCATTTTAGAATTTATAATGAGCATGCTTATATATTATACTAGTGTATGTTATAGATCATAAATATAGCTTGCCTTGTATAAATTGTATGTGTTGCATTATCATATAGCTTTCATATATGGTCTATACTAATACAAGTGCTATGTTTAGAGCATAAATATAGCCTGCCTTCGTAAACGGTATGTGTTGTATTCTCTGATGTTCGGACACTCGAAATAGTTGAATTACCCATGTCGGACATAACATGGGCATGGGCATGGCCATGGCCATGGGCATGTAATATGGGTTGGATCCTCCAAGTTTCAATCGAACACTTCGTCATTTTCTCTTCTTCTTTTTTCTTTTTTCTTCTTTCTTTTGTTCTTTTCTTCACCTTTTCTTCTTTCCCCTTTTTGCTATCTGTAAACCTAGAGTCGCCGTCGAAAGGGCTGAGAAAGGTGGCGACACTAGATTTTTCCTTCTTTTTCTTCTTTCTTTTTCTTTCAATTTTCTTCTTTTCTTCCTTCTCTCTCTCTGTATCAGTTATGGTTTTGTTTGTATAAAATGAAAAATGGATTCCATATAATGCTATTTAGTACTCCATTAAGTCCAAATTGCAATTAAATCCCTCATTTTTTATTTTATATAACATTTAGTAATCCCATAATTGAAAACTAAACCTCAGAACTATATTTTATTCATCTTAACCCCTTCTTCAATGCACATTTCCTTCTTTGTGAATAATTGATTTTGGCAAATGATATCTTGAATTAGTAGAAGTCTAAAATTTAAAAGACACACCCACGTACCCGTATCAAAAATTTAGACTCTTTTTAACCATGTCCCCGTATCCTATATTTTAAAAAATAAAATATCTGATACTTAGATACATACCAGTACCCGATACCCGTACCTGAGCCCGAGCATCATAGGTTGTATTTTCTAGATTGCATATATAGGTTGTTGTAAAGGGGTTTTGCTTCATATGTATCGTATGCCTCTTATTGTGGTCCGTGTTGTGATGAGTCCTCTTGAACCAGTCCAGCCTCTAATAGAATAGACTAATCTTCTATGTGGAAGAAGTGCTTCCAAATTTATATTTCATGTAATGGTCTTATGTATTGGGAGTATACTCCCATATTTAGATTTTCTACAAAATTCTCTGATGCTGGATGCTATGAGGAGAATTATAAGAGAAGGGGAGAGGAGAACAAAGGAGGGAGAAATAGAAAAAAATGGTGAGAGGAGCAGAGAAATTGGAGAAGAAATATACCATTTTTTATTCATTCAAAGTCTCCTTTATTACAGCGCAAAAAGAACCCTTTATATAGGGTTTGAAATATTCTATCTTGAGAAGGAAAATATATAATAAAAGCAACTAAATTAAACCTAATTATATTCCTAAAATACAAATTAAAATTGAAAACTAAACATAATAACATTCCTTCTAATATTGCACCATTCTCTCTCCTTCGTACTTCGGGAGGTAAGGTTGGCCTGTCCCCTCGTACTAATTTTTTACGGCCAAAATTCTGAACTTTAAAAAAGGAGCAATCCAACGAACAAATCGTCAGGTTCAGCACAGTTCCAAACTTACCCATAAAACCACGTCCACTTTCTTGAAAAGTTTTAGGAAGGAGAATTCCTCAACACAATCGACAAGTTAAGATTGTGGACTAATTCTCATTACATAATTCTTTAACACGATTCGGTTAATTTCATTTACTTTTACATGTAAAATCTTAAATATTTTATTCAGACTATTTAGTATGAAGCCTAGAAAGAATAGACCCCTTCCAGTGGTTTCAAATTTGACAAGGAATCAAATTATTCTTTGACAGGGATGGTCATAAACCCTAGCATAGTAATGCAATTAAATTAGAAATCCATATAGCCAGGGACATGCTTACAGAGCGAGATAGTGCATTGGCACCTTAAATGGGCTTCCAACATAATTTCAAGCGAGCTTATGATGCTGTGTACTCAAGCCCCAAAAAAATCCAACTTCACCAATCAAATCCAATTTGGCATTGGGTTAAAAGGTTTACTTGCCCTTACATAAGTTGGTGCAGTCAAAACATAAGATAAGCTGAACAGAAATCTTCATATCTCATAGCTCCAAAATAAATAAACCGTGTAACTTCTTTTCCATTTCTAAAACTTCATGTCTTAAGCAAAATACATCTCAAGGAACTTTATCCTCACAAACCAAATTCAGTTTTGCGAATAAGCCACGGCACTATCTTAATACATCAAAAAAAAAAATCTTCGAAAAATATAGCATCAGCTACTCTTTCATCTAAATGCTACGATCTTCCCCTTTCAATTGAGTTTTTATAACTCCTGGTTGCTTAAGTTTCTAGCAAAATTTCCACCTAGTTGTCCACATGCAAATATGCAATTAAGTTATGCCGCATTTTTCTTCGGAAACCAATCCCCACCCCTAAACTTCTAGACCTGCCTATAAATAATATTTTCCCATCTTTCAATTTTTTTGTCAATAAGATACAAATAACATCTAAAATTGTTGTCTTTTCTTGGACAAATAAAACATATTGAACATTACATGGAGAAGTAGCAAATCAATTTTGTTGACCACCAAAGAAATTTCATCAGGAAAAAAAGGGTCAAACTCATAATAACTCAAACAACAAAAGGAAAAGGAAGCACTTAAGCACCCACCAAACTGTAGTGACTCTAATATTGGCAAGAATGACAATATTTATATAAAAGAAGACCAATATATACCATAGCAGTAAAAGACAATAAGATAATATAAAAAACGAGCTATAGCTAATGGCTTTTTGTGTAGAAATACAAATTCCTCCTGAAAGGTAGCCAACCCCATTTGAAATGAGTCAAGACTCTTGTGACTTTTTAAGAAGTTTAATAACATATGCTCTAACCGAACAGTGAAAGTAAAATAGTACATGAACTGCTAAAAGATACAATTAGAAAGAGGTTGTGCACATGCCTGTGTGTGAAGAGAGAGAGATAGAGAGAGAGAGAGAGATGTTCTCTTTCTTCTTTGTTTAAGAAAAAGTAAGGGCATTGTGTTAAAAAAGATAACTTTTTCTGCTCAAAGGGTGAGGTATATAGGATAAAATCCCTTGCAATACAAATCAAGCATGCAAATGCATTTAATGTTAGAACAAAACCAGAACACAGAAGGTGAAATATACCTTGCCACAAACTGGACAGTTATCACTTCTTTCCATCCACTCATATATACAACCAAGGTGGAAATGGTGAGAACATTTTGTCATAATCTTTGGGTTTTCTGTAGTATACTCTGCAAAAAGGATGCTCAAATTATAAGAAAAACCAGAATCTTTAGATGCCAGACGTAGTTATCAACTTAAAAAAAAAGGTAGAAGAAAGAAGCAAAGGGAATCCAGAATTTAAGAAATTCCATGTTTTGGAATTTCAGCACTCTTTACCAATGCTGCTATGCCAGCTTACTCTTGCTTTCCTGTTTTTTGCCCAAATTAAAGAAAAAGATATTTTGTTTTAGATATGAAAACTGCAAGAACTTTTGTTTCGCCAATCTAAAAATAAACCGAAGGAAATTATAATGAAATCTGTATGAGCAATGACATCAAACAGAAATAAGAGAACCATCCTAATGCTCTGTTACATGCAAATTATATCTCAATAGCGTGCTTAAAATTATTGCATATAACGAAACTGCTGCAATAATTACCATAAAAACACTAAAAAACTAAAATTTTCATACTCTTACCTTCAAGACATGTGGGGCAGACATCTTCATCTTCTGAAGAAGTGTAAACATGATCAAAACCTGTCTTTGATTTAGCTGTTGAGAGATTCAGTGAATATTTTGAATTGTAATCTTTAGATTCTTCTTCACATGTATAGTCATTCCATTTGTTTGTGTTCCTCAAAGGCACAGGCTCTTCATCAACTTCATTTCTTCTCAACGGCTCAGTTTCCTCGTGCAAATGACTTGAGCCTTTCTCCCTCCTTGAGACCAGTCCGTCCCGTTGCAAGCGAAAATATCTTGGATCTGCATCATAAGGCAGAGGCCTTGGAGGAGAGCGGTACATATCATCTAGAGAGTTATCAAGTGATGCAACCGAATTCAAAGATGCCGTCCCCAGAGTCGATGAACCGGAGACATGTTCTTCTCCTCTGCGAAACAATGACGTATACTGCAAAATGCAAGAATGAGCATTCTACAGTCAAATTGTAAACCAACTGTGAACAAGCCAATTGTACCATAGTTAAGTCTTAGCAGCCTACATATCCTTTTATACCAACTGGAATGATTCCAAGCTAGCTTTCAGTGGAGTTCAGATTATTATGGCTTGGGAGATCCCTAAAACCATTTCATTACAATGTACATCAAGGTATTGGATCAAATTACACATTTCAAAAAATTTCCTGCACTGTAGAAACTTTTTGAGATATATCCTTTCATCTGGGATGTAAGCATTTGACAAAACTGTGATTCTGAAAATATAACAAATAACAAATCCATAAAGTAAATAGGAGAATTAGTCCACCACTACCAGTGTAAAAAATAAGCATAGGCTAAGCTTACTGCACGGAAATGGTAACTGGTATGTCACCGACTCAGCATAACCTAGTAAGTTTGAATGGGAATTTATCAAAAGTCTGAATATATCTGTTCAAACAACCATGTGACACATCTACATCTTTGTATGCGAACATGTCAACTTAGATTACTGACTTAAACATGGGGAGAGTTAAATGGATTTGCACACAACAAGCTCATACAGCACATCAATAGTGCAGATGCCTGCAAGAAAGGCCTTGTGCTGTGCAGAATCTAATTTGAATCTTGAAATTGAATTTGAACCATCTTCAAGTAACTTTATTAGACAAAAAAACGTAAAGCTTACCACAGCCAAGAAGTTCTGAACAAAGCAACGGAGGCATATACAGTTTCTATAAACTGAGCTGTTAGGATTAGTCAAATCTTCGTATTCATCTTGGAAACAGCAACAAACACCACCCATTAATACCAGTTCCCAATATACTTTAATACGTCAAAAACCTTCCACTATCCCAATAGTTTCCTGATGGAATTATATGAACATCAAAATATAAAATCCTGTGGCACGGGGATAATTTATTGATACAGAGAGAGGATTCGAGCTCGCAGAACTTTTCTTTGCAAACCAGCACCCTCTCTCTCACTCTCTCTTCCAAGTGCCCTTTCGAATATAGTAGGCTTTAAACACCAGATATAATATATTTTCACCTGCAAAAGGAAGAAAGGAACACTTGTTGGATCAGAAACTACTAACAAATAAAATTCCATCTCTAGGAAATCACTGCAAATTGCCATCAATGAACAAATTAAATTTTACAATTAAAGAGCATATGGCAAAGTAGGTGCACAGCAATCATGGAAAATATTAACTAATCCGGTCCACTCATTTCAGATACGCAATAAAATAGCATTATCTTTTATTCTTTTTCTTTCTTTTCTAGTTAGGGAACTAAAGTAACAAAGATTGAAGATTTTCTGTATAATTAAGGGGGGAAATCCATCAAATTAAAACCAACAATACCAAGAGAAAAATCCAGAAAGTAAACAACCGAATCAAAAAGATTCTAATTTTTTCCAAATAATTTCATACTCTCTTCAAAATCAAACAAGGATAATAATTACTTCAGTAATGAATACCAATAATTACTTAATACATATCCAGAAAAGGAAGAAAACTGATTAATTTATCAATTACAGAAAATCCCATTGCAGATTACACAATTCTAACACTGATTTCAACCCGATTATTAAAATTAAGATAGGGGTAGTAAAACCGAATTATTTAGCTAATCAACTAAAAAGAACATAAATAAAGTATAAACTTACAGAATAAAATTCAAAAATGGTTGTATAGACTTGGAATTCCTGTAATCGAAGTCAGATGTCTCAAGATTCCATCAAATATGAGAAAGAAGAGAGAAAATTCTTCGAATTACTTTGTCGGGAAAAAGGTCGTGAAAGCGCGAATGAAAGCCGCACGCTTTTTCCGCCCCAAGGTGGGTGAAACAGTACTGTCTTCCATTTGCCAAAACGTATCCAGCTAGCTTTCAATATATACTCTTTCAAAAATCATTTTCAAATTCCATTCAAGAAGAATTTTCAAAATTCTATAATAAATCAATTCTCATTTTCAACCGCACATTCTTCAATAAAATAATATTTTTCATCGCATCAATTATTTTTTCTTCTTTTTCTAATTAATTCTCATTTTTAAACACACATTCTTCAATAAAATAATATTTTCCATCACATCAATAATTTTTTCTTCTTTTTCAACCACACATTTCCCATCATATCACTATTCAAAATCAATTCTTCCCCCAAAAATCCCTCTCAAACAAGCACTCAATCACATATTTTTTAATAAAATAATATTTTTATTACAATAATAACTTTCTAAATTTTTTAACTATATATTTCACATCATATCACTATTTCAAATACATTCTTTTCTCAATAATATTTATCAAACAGACCCTAAATATCATATTTTTAGTAAATTTCATAAAAATTGATAAAATGCATAATTAAAAAATAGATAAAAATAATGATTCTCATAGAATATGCGATTAAATGAATTTAAGAAAAATAAGTTTTAAAAAATGAGAGTCAAACATGAACAAAATGTTATTTTAAGGCTAAAAAATATTTGGGCAATGTATATAAACGGTTTAAATTATAAATAGAAAAAATGAGAGGTGAAAAAGTGTTAATATATGCGGATATCTCAATATATGTAGATAATAAATTACTTGAATTTTTATAGAGAGTTTATGTATTGCTAAATTCCACTAAGTTAAACAAAACGTGGTATTCGAGTGATGCCAGGATAGATTGAAATAAGAGATAATTTCACATCGTAAGAGTTGAAATCAATGTTTAGATTATATGGAGCAAAGAAAATGTAACTTTATTCGCACCATAATTTTATTAATTGTGTCATATTAAGAGTAAATGGATGCGTTTATAAAAAGCAGTATTTATATGGACTAGTCAAAATTGAACGTGCATTGCACGTTATTCCAAAAAAACTTTATAAGTGTTTTAAAAGTAATATTTGATATTAATTTGTCAGAAGAATTTGATGAGTCTCAAACGAATTAAAGAAAATATAATTTAGGATAAAAATTGAAGGAAATGAAATTATACTCTCAAAACTCAATTTCTATGATTCGATTTTTTTTTTTTTGTGACGATGAAATACTACAAATGAACAACCTTTTTAACATTTGGTACATAAGAATTAATTGTTAATACATGAATTTAAACACCCGTTAAAATTTCTAGATACATGAATAGAAATAAATTCATATATAATAAATTTAAACACCAATTAAGATTTCTAGATTCGTGTAGATCAAAATTCATCGAGTCAAGATTCATATTAATGTGAATGTTAATTAATTGAGAATTAATAACACGAAATTCATACATGATAAGGATTTTTTAGTATTTAGTATATATTGAAAAATGAAAAATAAGGTATTATTGAAATAATTGAATCGTAGTAAGATTAAAATCGTCCAAAAAATTATTCACACTTGATGTGATATTTAATATAGGAAAACACTACTTGTACATAATTTGGATTACATAAGGGTGTCCACCCTCTCACATGGGATGGACCCCACATGAATAAANAGTATATCTCTTTAATATATTATACACGAAATTCATACATGATAAGGATTTTTTAGTATTTACAACATATTGAAAAAACGAAAAATAAGGTATTATTGAAATAATTGGATCGTAGTAAGGTTAAAATCGTCTAAAAAATGATTCTCACTTGATGTGATATTTAATATATTATAAATTTACTACATATTGAAAAAAGAAAAATAAGGTATTATTGAAATAATTGAATAGTGGTAGGGTTAAATTCGTCCAAAAAATGATTCTCACTTGATTGATGTGATATTTAATATATTATTATAGATTAATAGCAGAAAATTCTCTTAAAAATGTTTCTATTTGCGATATATCTCCCTACATATTGGAAATCGCAAAAAATCTCCCTATTTAAAATCTTTTGTGCGAAAAACCCATATGTCGTCAAGATTTGTTAGATTTGCCGTTAAAACAACAAAAAATGACAAAATTAAAATGAAATAATTACAATTTCAGTACCCAAAAATGAGAATGAACGCCAAAAATCCAATTGATTCCACTTCATCTTTTCTCCATTAAATGAACGCTACTTTCTCATCATTCTATTTCACCTGTTTAGATACACAATAAAAAGTACCAAAAATGAGAATGAACGCCACTTTACAAATCATCAATGACAACACCACCACCAAAGCCGCCAATTTTCTCCACCTCCACCGACTGTGGCCACCATACAACACTCGCCATGGCACTTTCTAGTACCCTACCTATTCGGTGGCCTTGCCACCGTGCTTGGACTAATTGCATTTACGCCTATCAATCTTGAAAATCATGTAAGCTCAATTAGGATGTCGCACCGGTGCAAAAGGCACTATGTTCGAAGCCGACGATGCGATGGCTGAAGTGGACCGGCCTTCAAGTTTCTATTAATGTGTGTACTGTTCATCATATCTTCTTCTTTATTTATTTCAAAAAGTATGTTTTGGTATAATTTGCTTACTGATTTTGTAACTATTGGAATGCCAAAGCGCAATTATCCAGTAATTAAAAAATGTCTTTAATTTAATAAACAAAATCATCAAGTTGTTCATGTGTATGCTATACTAAGAGTTAGATATTTGAATTTTTACCTAAATTCAATTATTAATTCTTAAATTAATTCTGAATCACGAACTTCTAACTTTTTGGATTACGAGCTTCCAACTTTTAATTGTAAGAACTTGATACTTCAAACCTCCAAGTCTTCTATGGTATTCTCCAAACCCTACATCGGTGGGTGGACATCTTTTTTTAATTAAATCAAGAAACTAATTTTGGACAATAAGAAAATATAATTTTTCTCACTTTTTCTTTCTTTTCAAAATTGAACACTGTGAAATTATGTATTATGATTGTTGTTAGATTTTTATGTCCATCTAATCTCTATTTATAAAGATAAAGACGTTCAAATCCATATAGAATTATAATTCCAATATCAAATAGGAGTCTTAATTAAAATTCAAGTATGAGTCTTAATTAAAGTTCAAATCCAATTAATTTACATTTAATTACATGTGTAGTCATAGAATTTCAATTATAATTATAATTATAATTAAGTGCTTGTTTGGTAGGGATTTTTGAGGGAAGAATTGATTTTTGAATAGTGATATGATGGGAAATGTGTGGTTGAAAAGGAAGAAAAAGGTTATTGATGTGATGGAAAGTATTATTTTATTGAAAAATGTGTGGTTGAAAATGAGAATTGATTTACTGTAGAATTTGAGAATCAAAAACAAACATGCCCTAAGTTTACAACTTTTATAGTAACTAGTGTGGTTTACGTACGTTGCACGTTAGTTGTTTAATGTTGAAAATAAATATATATAAATTTTAGAGAAATTCATTTGTAAACATGAAAGATATTCAGCAGGTAAAAAAAAATTTGTCAGGATCGAGCATGTGATGCGGTCTGCAGGCTTTTAGCTGGTGAAGAGAAAGAAAGAAAGTTATTTAAAAGAAGATTTCTATAGGTTGAACACGGAAGATTATGGGAGGTTGGATTTTAAGACCACTACTTTTTTGCTTGATGATTTGAGGCAGGGAGGCATGTGGCTAAGGTGGTGGAATGGTGGGACATGACATGTTCTGTGGGCTTTAAGGTAGCAAAGGAAAAAAAATGCAGTGGTGAACGTGAACAGTAGAAATTGTATTGACGAGTTGGAATTCGGTGCAATTTATAAAGGCAATATTAGCATAAGTGCCTATCAAAATCACCAGTTCACCACTTACAAGTGCATTCATATGCACTTATGCTAACATTGCCTTTCCAGTTAATTCGGTTAACTGGAAAGCCTTATGACATATAATTATAAACAAAAGTATTTATTTAACTATAAATTATCTATTTCATAGTTGTTCATTAGTTTAGTCTTTAAACATAAAACAAGAAGCATTATTGTATATAAAAGATTTCCTACCAACCCTCGCTAAAAAAGAAGAAAAAAAATTTATTTATCCTTACATACAACCTTAGCAAGAGAATGTACGCCAATATCCAGGCCTTCAAGGAAATTAGTTTCCTCAACAGCAGTCAACTCACAGTATGTTGCTCTCCTTGTTACCTGTAGAAGAAGAAAGAACAATAATTTTTTTATATATATAAAAAAAAAGTTTAGTTGATTAGTAAGGTGAACGTGCGTTGATTAATGAACTTTTGCTTACATCAAATGAAAATGAACTTTTCTTTCCATCCAATCCCAAGTACTGTAGTCCTCCTCCCAATTTCCACATACAACGAAATTTAAGACAACCTAAAAAACAAAAATAAGTAAATATATTCAAACAACACCCAGATCATAAATTAATATATGAGCAATTTGAGAAACTCAAATGCATCTATATTTGACAATAACTTGAATAGTTTAAAATTCCACTTTGGCTATCAATCCCTCCAACCACCTAAAAAACAGTGAAGCAAATGAAGTACTTCTCAAAAAAAAAAAAACATTGTTGATTACCTTGGTTTCTTCTATTGTGGCAAGTTTTTGTACATTTTGATCAATTACATTTTTTTTTTGGTCATGGAACTTTTTATGGTTCATGATTTACACAAGACAAGAAGGAAACCTACATCAAGACAAAAGGAAAAAATGTTATTAGTAGTTTAAAAAAACACGCGCACGGGGACACCTCACATCTAGGATGGAGATATCGCCGTGCCTCCATCCAAATCCCAAAAATTAAATAATAAGGTAGTCACGATTTAGACAAGACAAGAAGGAAACCTACATCAAGACAAAAGGAAAAAATGTTATTAAAAAAAAAATCGCGTGCGCGGGCGGGGACACCTCCATCCAAGATGAAGACATCGCCGTGCCTTCAACCAAGTTGATGGAGGCAAACCATGCCTCCATTACTTGGATGGAGGCATGGTGCCTAGGCCAAGTCATCTGTCCATCCAAGAGTGCCTCCATACTCCAAAATAACACAGGCCTTCACACCCTATACTTTCTTTACCCGATGATCGATGTCAGAAACATAAATTGTCCTCCTGATTACATCTTCTCTCTGCGCCATGCTTGTTCTGCTATTAATCCTCCGCTTGGCATGGCCATAGCCATTTTTCTTCTGTATATCAAATGTTATACAAGCTCAATCAACAAATCAGACACCGTAGTTCAATCATATTACAAATTTTAATAACAAAACTACGTGATAAAATAATTTAACTGGGAATATAGTTGCTTTAAAAGAAAAGAAAAAATAAATACACGAATTACTGATTTGTTTAACGAAACAAAATGAACCTCAACAATCCAAAATTACTGCTATCTTATATCAAATATTCTTCATTCCATTCTTTATATTTCCGCATAGTTTCTTACATAATAGACAATAATCCATATGCTAGAAATTTTACTGTGAAAAACTGTAAAAAGAGTATATATATATATATATAAATAGTTTATATATATATATATACACACACAGAGAGAGAGAGAGAGAGAGAGAGAGAGAGAGAGAGAGAGAGAGAGATAAAATACCAGACACCCAGTTTCTGGCACATTACCGTTGTCTTTCGTAAAAGATTCGTTCTTTAGATAATCCCTTTTCTCACAATGCCATTCCCCTGCAGGCATTCTTCAAAACTATTGAAACACAAATTTAACTCTCACAGGAGCTCACTCAAATATTACCCGATTACAGCTCCTGATCTGCAGACAGTACCACCTATAAATTCTTGTATGAATGATCAAAGCCTCAATAATGAATAAATTTTGACCATAAACACTTTATGAATCATTCAATATTTCAATCAATATATAAAGCCTTTTCAATTACATCTATCTATCAATATATTCTATATAAAATTTGTGTACAGTTACTAATTATTTGATTTGATCTGAAAATTTATCAGAAATAAAAAGGAATTGATGAACAACGGGATCAAAAACTTATCCTTACCTACTAAAAATACCTCAACTTTGGATAGCTTGCCTTCATCCAAGACTTTGAAAAGGGAAAAACCCGTTGGGATTTTGAATAGCAGTAACATTCTTCTTGCTCTAAACCGTCGACCAGTTCGAAGCGCGAACCTGCAAAAATTTCTGTGAAAGAGAGTGAAGAATCGTCTTTTTTAAATTCTTTTTCCTCAATTGTCAACAGTCAGAAATTTTGAATTAAATCTGAAAAGAAAATTGGAAAATTGAAATCTTACTTGTGAACTGCCTCTTTGAATTTCTCTTCATTGAGAAATTGAAGTATTGCACGCGGACGGAGGCATACTACCTCCGTCCGCGTGCAAGGAGGCACGCACGTTGGTGCCCCGTGCGCAGCCACACAATTAGTTTATTGCTAAAAATCCAGTTGAGATGAGTGATAGTTGCTAAAACAAAACATTAACTTGGTTCTCGGCAGTGCAAATCTAATAATCCAAACTACTGAAAAATAATTGGCATTAAAATACCTTATTTCAATCACTATTTTGAGCAATCCATTTCTCAGACGTCGATAACTTCGAATCCTGCAAAAACTAGGTTGGGTGAAAAAATTAGAGCAGCATGTAGAGAGAAGGGAGAAAAAACAAAACTGTAACAACCCAAAACCCGAAAATATAATCCAAACCTGAGGTACTCCAATGAGAGGTTGCGTGGGAAAACGGAGGAGGAGTGATTGGATGCGTGAGCTAATAGAGAAGCAAGACGGCTGGGAATTTTTGAGAAATTTTTTTTTTTTAAAAATGGGATTTTTTACGACGACGGGAAATGGCAACACGTGTAAAATATGTTTAGCCTCTTTTAATTTATAGTGATTATGAGTAAGTACAAAACTTTATTTTAATTACAATTAAGTCCAAAACTATTATAATTACCATAATTGAGTTTAATTACTTTATAGAGCTACCACGGTGACCTAATCGGGCATATATTATCCAAGCTCCAATAGTTAGATCATGTCTAGTCGACCATCTAATTATTAGTCTTTAATTTTTTCTACTAAAGACAAAAAATTGAACTATCAGAATATATAAGATCACATAAGCCAATAAAATTGTAATATTTTCCTCCGACCTTCCGTATATGTATTTTATCTTCGTCCGAGATTCGATAATTAGGTACGAGCATAAATGATCGTTTTGTCCCTCTAATTATTCTCACTAACTTAAGTGTTATTTTCTTCAACGGTCTTGTGAACAAATCATAAATGACGAAATTTAGCCATCGTTAAACACTGTACTCAGATTTTAACCGTTCAACAGGAAATACTTAAATAGTCACTCTACCCATTTTTTAGGGCGACGATTCTTGACACGAATTCATGTTCACTACTTCGCTCATTCTCAAGTTCCCAATTCACCGAAATATTTGACCAATCAAATTGATCTCACCCATTGATGAATCGAAGAACCATTAAAATCACGAAAAGATATATATAACCCTGTCAAAGGATTTAGATGAAATACACAGCGGTCAAGTGTAATTTAATTTCTGCACGATCATGCTATAGAATTATACTTGACAAGTAGTCCATTCAATACACTCCAAGTGTAATAATGTCACCTTTAACTATTTTTGTGATAAGGACAAATCACAAATCCAAATAGTGAATCGGACAACACTACAACCTTCGGTACAAGATGCCAACCCTTATACATTGGTAGTGAACAAATTATTTATGATCAAAATATACTTTATGTCACACTGTTCGTCTCAATGCAAGTACCCAACTTATATAATCACAAGTGTTCATATGTACTTTAATTCTCATGCTCAATAATAAATAAATGCAATAGATAAAATAAGAATTATTTTATTTAATATAAGAATATTGTTATTTTTTTATATCAGCAAAACTATACTATATGGACACAAATCCCAACAGTAACTTATCTATTTTTGTTTTGTAAAAATAAAATTGCTTGAAAATGGAGATTGTTGAGAAGATTAAAATGTTTGAAAATGAGGATTGATAAGTGTAGTTTATACACTTATTTGTGACCCTAAATTATGATATTTTATTATCTTTTGGATTAAATTCTACTTAATTTATGTTATATTGCGTTTTGTAGGTAAAAATTTATGTTTGATGAAAAATTGGAGAAAAGAATGCAAAAGTGGCAAATAATGACAAAAATTCAAAGATAAAACTTTTGAGAAATATATTATATTAAATGGGTTCGAGTTAAATGGGCCTCAATAAACTTGTATTGAAAATTTTAATTGGAAATATAGATTAGATGGAGGAAAACACGTAGAAGGGGGAGACGCAGAGGAGAGACGACAGAAAAAGAAAAAGACGGGAAGAAAGAGAAGAAAGAAGAAAAAGAAAGAGAAAAAGAAAGAGAGAGAAGATAGAAAAAGAGAAGGAAAAGTCAACGCAAGAAGAAAGAAAAAATGCGCAGAGAGGAAGAAAAAAGCAAGGAAATTGCAAACACCAGAAATTTTCACATTTGATCAATTTTTGGTAATTTCTTTCTACTTTTGTGCGTTTTTATTTTTACAATATGAATAACTAATTTTTATATTAGGGAAAACAATTTAGTCGACTTGTGATCCTTTATTTATTTTTATTCAAGATTTATTTATTTATGTGTTGGTTTTATTATGAGTTTAATCCATTAAATTACATGATCAATAATTTGATGATTATGCGAGTCTCTTACGAATAGAGAGGTGAGTTTGAGATTTAGACGATATAGTAAAATTCCATAAATTAGTATAACGTGTAGAGATACATATACTAATTATTGCGGTCATAATATGAATTCTTAGAACTAATGTTTCGTTTAACTAAAATTGGTTCGCATAGAAATATGAAATTTAATTAGTTAAATAAGTTCAATGAGAACTCGAGAGGGGTAAATTGAATACACTAGAAGAATTCGATCGAACAGTATATTAGATTATGAATCTTGAATTAAGAATAAATGTGATCAATAGATGAAATTGTTATTCCCTAATATTCATCTCATATTTGTTTCTTCAATCATCCATTGTTTGCAAATTTTTTATATTTCAAATAGTCAAAAGTAGTTAGAAAAAAATCACAATCATCATAAATATTTACTTTCTTTTGTCAAATAGGAGTTAAGAAAAATTAGATTAAGTCCTAAAGTATCTTCGTGGGAACGATAATTTGGACTCAAATGTCCACTATATTACTTGTTACGATATCATACACTTGCGATGTAAAAAATACAACAAATTTTTGGCTTCGTTGTCAGGGACTATTTACTTTTAGTCTTAATTTATTTTATTTTTAACTGTTATTTAATTTTATTTATTATTTACTTTTCTTTGTTTTCTTATTTATATTATTTAACTAACTCCCTACATTTTTAATCTATCTTGTGTTGGTATTCTCTCTTTGTACTTTTCAGATATTTATCATAATTCTGACATTGATAAAGTAACTAAAAATTGCAATGACAAATCTTTACATTGATTGTCAAGATATGCTTGGAGAATATCCAAATTGTGAAAATTGTTACGCGGTGCATTGTATTGGAAAATGTTTGTTCTCTAGTTTACACATGCCTAAACTTCTGAGATTTCGAAAATATTTGATGGGTAGAAAACAAGTAATTGAAAAATCTGATGAAGAGTACATGCTTATGGGAGATTTTGTGCCGACGATTGGGATGAGGACATCAAACTTGTGTGAGATGGTCCTCCACTATTGAACGATAATGTACTTGCACGGTACTTTAAAAAACTTACCAAGTTGGATGAAAACGATATGCTCATTGGAGATTTCATGCACTGGAAATGATTTCAACAATGGGGGTACAATCCATTCAAATGAGTTAACGAGACCGACTTCTCATTGTCTGTGGATCTAGATTATGGATCGATCATTCAACTCGAAGATATATCGACTATGGAAGAAGGGATTAAAGAGAATGACGTGTTGATTACAACGGAATCAAATGAGGATGTGGCGATCAATGAGAATGAAATAAACTCACATTTTTCCGACTTTCTTGATTATCTAAAAATTAATATTGTGATTAAGCCCGATGTAAGAGTGGAAGTTTACATAGTTGAAATTGAATCGAATAAAATAGAAAAACTCCTATTACATCGAAAATGGCATGATAGAAGTTTGAAAACTAAATGAAAAGTGGATCAAAGTCAAACGAATGAAAATAGACAAGGCATCCAAAGTTTTATTTAGGTCCCCGTGATTCAATTGCCAAAGTCGAGTTAAAGATTATATAAAAAAAAAAGCACTTATTGGGAGGCAACCCAATTTTTTTTCCTTTTTATTTATTCTGTTTTTTTAGTTTTATGATAATTTAATTTATTTTAAATTTATTTGTGACTCATCATCCATACATGTCTCCCCTTAGGTTTTCAATATATTATTTGGTTTATTAAATGTTAGATCTAAGTAACACTTGTTCCAATTATTTGATCTTAATGCTTTATTTAATTTTTCAGAAATATGATGTCGCGGAACATTTAAACAAATATTGACTAAGGAGCCAACAGAAGCAATATGAAAGTTAGCCATTGAATTACAAGCCATATGAGGGAAGTCTTTTCTTCACTTTCTTCCACATCCCTTTATATGCAGATTTAGAATTAAAAACATTGAGAACAATGTCTAATTTAAGTTTGGGGCTGAAAAACACGAG